ATTACATATTTACAACTTAACCCACTCTTGAAAATTATTTGCAGTGCCAAAATCAATACTTGTAGCCCATCTGCTGTCATTTGAGAACTGCGGAGTGGGATAATATTTGAGTCACCTAACGTGCACATTTCCAGCTGAGTTCCAACAGGGCAGCTTTTTAATTCTTTATTATTTTAGTTTTCCAACAGTGTAACGAGGTATTTTTCATGTCATATCTGTTGCCAATGCTTTTTTGCATTTAGGGGCTTGTTAATGATGATGTCATTCTTCAGTGTGGCCCCAGATTCAGAGTTGAAGTATTATTTAGTGCTTCTAAACCCAAGAAGATTTTATGTTATTTTATTTTTTGGTACTGGGGATTGAACTCACGACCTTGCACCTGACAGACAGACGCTGTGCCACTGAGCTGTATCCCCAGCCCAACACAAGAAGATTTTGATGTGCTTTATGAAGAAAATGCCATGTGTTTGGTAAGATCTCTACAAGGCATCAGTTATGCTGTAAAGCATGCATTGAAAGGCAATGAGTAAATATTATATCAAAAGAATAGGTATCTTTCAAGAAAATCACACATAAAAAAGGTTCTGTGTTAATTGTTTCCTCAAAATATTGTCAGCAGAAGCTCGCAGGTACTTTGCCTTATATTTCCCTTAGGAGTGATATTATTATTATTATTTTATTATTAAAATAATAATATTATTATTATTAAGTTATTATTTTTTTTTACTAATTCATTCTTAGTGGAAAGTATTTAAGTAAATTGCAAATAGCTAGTCACGGCTTCCTCAAAGGTTGTCAGGAAGATCAAATGTGTTGGTGCACACCGGGCACTTAGAGCAGAGCGTGGCACACAGTAAGCTCAGCTATCTAGATCAACTGCACACCCACTTATGACCTCCCCTCAGGCCCGACCTAGTAATGAAGCACTGATCCCCTCTGCTCTTGTGTCTCCCACCATGTATTCTCCAACCCCAGCAAGGCCCATTGAGAAGCAGGGCCACTGCTGCCTTAGGGAGTCACCAACACATGCACCCACCAGGAACACTGTGCCTCATGGGGAAGCCTCGCACAAACACCACACTTTCTGCTGAATTCCTGTCAGTGCCTTTGGAGTCACAGGGCTTCTGAAACTAGGAAGCCAACTAACACTAATTTATCTGATTTCCTTTGTCACATCCTTTCCCTAAAGCAATGTGGCTTCCCCAGCTGACTAGGATGTGAAGAAAGGTCCCAAAGGAAGAAGGAAATACCAAGAGTAGAGGTTGGAGGAGGAAACAGTGGGAAACATTTAAAATAATCTTACTGTCTTTTAAAAAATATCTTTGTAAATCTAAATAAACATCAGCCTAGTACTGCAAAGAAGAAGAAGAAGAAGAAGAAGAAGAAGAAGAAGAAGAAGAAGAAGAAGAAGAAGAAGAGAGAAGGAAGAGGAAAAATACATCAGATTAGCTTGGGTGTTTCTCCTGTGACTACATCATATGCATCATTGATTGATTTTCCTTGTGCTGTCAGAAGGCAGGTCATTTCTGTTATGTTCATTGATGGTTCTTAACCTTCCAGCACAATTCCTTGTGGGAACCAGTGTTGCACTATATCAATGTCTCCTAATAAACAAATGAGGTGAAGAACACACACACACACTAGTATTTATGTGAATTTTTGAGGATTTAGTATTTATTTGCTGGGCATAGGTGTAAACCACACTTTCATTGCTATTTTCTCAAGGGCAGAAAATAATCAGAATTATTTTCTTGTGAAGATCCATGAAAAACTTTGAATCTCTGCTCTGTTTTCCCTTAGTCATAAAATAATAAGCAGTGCACTGCTGGCTTTAGTGATTTGAGTTGTGTCACCACCAGGGCTGAGCTTGCTAACATCACACACCTGGTACAGCGAGGCAATGACAGGCCCGTGTTTAAGTACAGACACTGACTTGGAAACTCATGTTCTTATTCCATGGTCCTCAAAACCCCCTCATTTCCCACTTGACTTTTGATAATTTTGAACTGACTGAATAAAAAATAATCTAATTTTGAACTGAATAAAAATTTATGTTTCTATGCACTTGGACTTCTAGATGAGCTGTTAAGTTGTAGCATAAATTATGAAATAGAACATCTGTCTGCTGAAATCATTTTCTGAGGTTATCTCTGGACTGCATTGGTCAAGACAGTCTGGCTCTGTGAGGAGGGGCTGGCTGGGCCTCTCGTGGGCTCTTCTTTGTAAAGGCCTGTGAGCGAATGTGGCAACAGATATCTTCTGGAGAGCCTGACTTATGTCTTGTCTAATAGCTTGGAGATTGAGGCCAGTGACCCAAAAGAGACTGAAGTCAGCAGGAGGGATAAATATGTTCTGGAGGGAGATGTAGGAGGTGGCAAAATATTAAGATGATTAGTTTTTGTTGCAGCTGACGTGACTGGACTTTGTTTGGAAGAATATTTTGGAAGATGAAAATCTTCAGGTTGAGGAACTGGCAATTCCTCTGGTAGAAGAAGCAAACAACAGTTCCTTTAGTGGAGAAAGCAAGCAGAAAATCCTTCAGTGAATTTCTACATCTCGGTATTATAGATAAAACCTGAATGTTTCCTTCCAGCATTTAAATATTGTGTGTCCCAATGTTACTGTAGTTCAACAGGATATGCCTTGGAGGATAGTGGGACACAAAAAAAGGCATCCCTCCAACCCACTCAGGGAAAGATCATGGGAAGACTTTACTCAACTGTTTAACGTGGGAACATTGGGGAACAGACAGGATTGATTTCAGTCAGAGCTTATCAATGGGGGTCCTTTATGCCCTCCCCCAAGGACATTTGGGGGCATTGTTGATTAACATAACAGAGGAAGGGGAACACTTTAACACATTCTTTTGGTTAATCACTAGCTTGACAGATGACAGTTTCTGCATCTCTACAGGTGAATGAAGTGTTAGGTCCACAGGTACCACAAGTCCCAAAACACTCTTCTGAATCAGTGACAAAATGGGCCACCTCAAGAATTTTCTCTTCCTCTCAAGTCCTGGGATTTTCACCATACTTGTCATGCATAGGTATTTGTCCATCACCTATAGCTAGACCATGAAATTTTTGCTTCTAGGTAACGTATTTCTTCATCGTATGCCATTGGCCACTGTTCCAAAATTTGTCCCTAAAAGACATTAACACTAAGATCATGAAAATAAGGCTTAATTTTTGGAACCCTGTGATTAGAGAACTGATCATCTATAGTCTCCATGTGAAGTTCCAACTAACAAGATTGTGAAGTGATCAAAATTATCTGTCTCCCATTATTCTGGATAAATTAGAGGTCATAATGTTAAGAGCTAATTTTGTGTTTTGAAAGTCAAGTGTATAGAAGTTTTGGCTTTTAGAATTAAAGATAAGAATTCCTTGACTTTTGTCTTTGTCTGGGAAATAAAATAAGAACTTGAACCACAAGAAAGAATAAAAGCTGATTTGTTCAGGTAGATAACTTGTGCTTGTTAGAGCGAGCTGGAAAGTTGACCCTGAAACATTTTTAACAGCAGGATCAGCCCTACTCTAGGTTGGTGTTCTCAGAAGTCCCTGAAATTTTGTAGAAGCTATTTTAATGCAGAGAAAAATTTAAAACATATTTCTAATGCCAAGCATATTCCTAATGTTGTTCAATGATGAGACAGGGAGACCCAGCCCATTCTCATGGTTAGAAAGGTTCAAATTTAAGGAGCATTGACATGCCAGGTGCCGATTACAAGTGTGTAGCTCAGCCAGGAAGAAATGTATCTCCTACTTCCAAGTCCCAGAGAGTTATCACTTTAAAGGTACCTCTGCTTAGTCTCAGAGAGTGATGGATTCTTCCTCTATGTTGTACTATAGTAACCTCATTTAGTTGCTGTTTCTGTAACAATAACTTTTTCCTAACAATTGATGATGGACATGTGTAACCAACTATAAGATATTATGTTATCTGCCTTTGTATTTTCTTTTGGAAACATATATAAATGATTGAAAAACTCAAGTCAGGGCTGATGATTTGGAACTGAGATTCCCATCAGCCTGCCAGAAATTCCCAAAACTGCGTCCTAAAATTCCTCTGGTGTCGTGTCTACATTTAGTCTGCTCCTAAATTCTGCATTAGCTTCACAGGCAGAAACATCTGCATAATATACACTTTCTTTGGTGTTGAATACTATAACAGCCTCTCATATCCAGGACACTTGAATTGCAAGACAAAGATTCAAGAAAATGAATCACCAATAATGAATTTCAAATATTAGATCATTAGATGGGATTGATTTTGAGAAGCCTTGCCTCAGTGTCCCGCAGTGGCACTGCATATAAGCATGAAAAAATAAAGCAAGATCCAAACTTCATTTTAGAGTCTTACAGGATGACAAGAGGGTTTTAAAATTCACTCTTAATTTTTTGCTTTCATTATTTCTGTAGCTTTCAGTTAGGACTTCTGTCAGGGAATTGTTTGATCTTTGTAAACTAGCTTTCATATATTAAGAAGCTTAACATTTATATAAATAACCAGAAAACATTTTAATTTTATTGCTTACAGTAATTGATTATCTATGGAGCTCTTTAAAGTCAGAAACTTAATTTAAAAAGCAGTTTAGAGAGTGAAGTTTAGGAAAGTCACAGTATCTCTGATGGTAGTAATTTACAGAACAGTTGTAATGTACCTGGCATTATTGTGAACAATTTTCATTTTGAAATCGTGACCTATTAGTAGGTTCCTTTTTTTACTTTTTTGTTTTGTACTGTTACCTACATATTATATGGAAGGAAGCCCAAGCACATAGCAAGTCAGTATTACAGATGGCATTTGAACCCATACTATTGGCTGGCTGCAGGGTCTCATCTTCTTGCTGTGTGGTCTTTTCAGTCACATGCATGCTGCTTCTGCTGTCCTAAAAGAAATTTTCCACTGAAATGGAGGGCCTAGATGTGAGAGAAAAAGAAAGGTGGTTGCTAATTCAGAAATAGGCTAATTCAGCTTGGTTTTGTTTTGTTTTGCAGGCTTTGGCGGTGCCCTGGGTTACCTCTTGGGTGCTGTAGACTGGGCCCATCTGGAACTGGGAAGAGTGCTGGGCACAGAATTTCAAGTCATGTTCTTCTTCTCTGCCTTGATGCTTACTTTCTGTTTTACTGTTCATCTGTGCAGTATACCTGAAACCCCACTTACAGATGCTGCAGAAGACATTTCCCCACCACAAACCCCTCATGACCCCCCATCGTCGTCAGAGGGAATGTATGAATATGGATCTATCAAGAAAGTTAAAAACGGTTATGTTAACCCAGAGCTGGCAATGCAGGGAGGAAAAAACAAAAGTCCACCTGAACAGGTAAAGATACAAATTCTTTTCTTTACCTGGATCTTCTTTCTTTCTTTTTTAATAGTTCATTGTTTTGTTTATTCCTTGTTTCATGAGAAGAGTTTTGTGATGTCTAACTGAATCTCCAAAATCCTAATAGGTAATATCACTTAGAATTAAACTACTGCACCTTAAAGAAAAATATGTGCATTTTCCTCTGGTTCTCTTGTTTCCTACTCCTTTCAAAACTTGAAATCAGGAAAGTTGAGGTCATTTGCAAAAGGTTAAGACATGTAAAAAGCCTAGAACCATCCTCAAGCCTGAAGAGTTCCTTAGTTGCATTAGCCACACTTGAAAAGCTTAAAACCCTTGGGGCTGGTGATTATTGTTCAATAGTGTCCAAGTACAGAACCTTTTATAACTAAGGGAACTTCTCTTGGACAGCATTGATGTAGCCTCCCCCTCCAAACTGAGATTAAATATCAGCTCATTTGTGATAAGGTAGAAAGAAAAAAGAAAGAGAGAGAAAGAGAAAGGAAGGAAGAAAAGAAAGAGAAAGAAAAAAAAGAGCAAGAAAGAAAGAAAGGGGTTGGGGATTTAGCTCAGCGGCATAAGTGCCTGCCTTGCAAGCAGGCAGTTGTGAGTTCGATCCCCGGTACCGACAAAAAGGAAAAAGACAAAAAAAAAAAAAAAAAAAAAAAAAAAAAAAAAAAAAAGAAAGAAAAGAGAAAGGAAGAAAAAGGAAAAAAGAAAAAAGGAACAGTTGTAGAGCTCAAGTGAAAAGGGCTGGGTAATATGAAAGCAGGGTAAATCCTTTGGAATTAACAATTAGGAGGTTGTGTAATAACTTAAAAGTAGCTGTTGATGAACTTTGTAGTTTGGAAGACAAACTGTGAAGGAGATCTAGGAAAAACTCAGTCAAAAATTTTGGGCAAGCAGTGAGTATAGCAGAGATAAAAGGTGCTACAGTGACTAATATGTTGGGTCATGAATGAGGATTGGATTTTGGAAGAATCATGTCAGAGTCTCGATCATGGTCCCCAAGTGCCTTAAGATAGGTGATTAAGTTTCAGTGGTCTATAAGGGATATGAATTTATTTCTCCTCTCTTAGGCCCCAAAGGGTAGTTCCGGGGTGATCTAATATTCTATAAGGGACCTGAACCCCTTCTATTTTGTTGCTGTTACTTTGAACATGAAGCTTTCATTCTGAGGTTCAAGATGACTGCGAGTTATTACTATTATGTGTAAATTTCTACAAGAAGGAAAGAAAAAAGGAAAAGATGTGCTCCTTTCCTTTATAGACACAACTCAAAAGTTGCAGCAAACATCACTTTTACTTAGCTTTTAGAAACTGGCCAGAACTTATTCAGATGGACCCATATAGTTACAAGTCAGATGGTGAATATCACAAGAGGGAACCTTGCTGAAATTTCTATGACTTGTAAGAAATGGACAGCAGATACTGTGGACCAAAAGTTAGTCTCTGATAACTTGCTAATTTCTCATCCTGATAGTTATGTGACTGTTTGTATTTGAACCCACAGAGTTCAGGTTTTTTTTAATCTGCAAGTTGGAATCTGCAGGTAATTGCTGTACATCCTTTTTAGATGGATTGAAAACACTAAATACAATATTGAAGGTGAAAATATCTAGTTTGGTGATTTATAAATATTAGTTGTTGCATAAGTGTACTCCCTTTCACAAAGCATTACAAACTCAGGCATCAAATAAAATCCAGGCAAGTTTGATGTACTGAGGCAAAAATATTTTTAATAATTTAAAATCATAAAAAGGTTATCAAATATTTTTAGATGAATGAAGTTTCATTACATGCCAGGCCTCCCCTGTCTGAGCCACTTGGAGATCTCTACTCACTTCTGAAGACTCCATCTTTCCTTCTCTAACCACCTCAGTGCAGGGGCTCCTCCTTTTGAACCTTCTTTTATGATATTCATCCTCCTGTTAGAAGGTCTTAATTTTCTGTGCCTGTTTGTTAAATTGTGCCTTTCCCTGGAAGAGGGTCTCTAATCCTTTTCTCAGTGCTTGGGACACAGGAGCTGGCAGCAAACTTACCATTCATGTCTTGTTGAATGAATGTGGCAAATACAGTGATGTTGAATATGGGCGTTGATGGAAGTTGTTGGGTTGATACTAGGAATCATCAGAATCAACAACATCCTGTGCATGGTTCTTTCATTTATTCATTCAACAACGATTACCAATGCTAGGCCCACTGCTGAGCACTAGGACCCTGTAGAAACCAAGACAGACCCTGTTCCTACCATACAGAATTGTTATCTAACAAAGACATGTTGCTTTACTTTCTTAATAAAGCTTTAATTTAAATAATTTTAGGTGTACAAAAAGTCACAGAGTTCTTGTCTACCCTTCTCTAACTTCTCCCTAATGCTAACATCTTAAATTGTACACATTTTTCAAAACTGAGAAATTTAGTACTATTACAATACTATCATATAAGCAGCAGACTTATTTGAATTTTATTTGTTTTTCTACTAATCTTCTTTTTTATTTCCATGATACAATCTAGGATATTGCATCGTGTTTAGCTAAGTGGACTTTAAAATCTAGAGACTGCTTTTTTTTAAGTGTTATTTTTTAAATGTTCTTTTTTAAGTGTTTCCTCTTATGGTCAGGAGAAAAATTGCATTTCTGTTTGTTCAACTATGTGCAAAAGTAAAAGCAACAAAACTGTTATGAAATTCTGTAGCTCGTTTTCTCAAGGTTAAGTTTTTCTTCAAATACTGTTTGCTCTGTTCATTTGCTTAGAATTTTTTTCAAAATTAATGCAGAAGTAAACCTCAATATTGCATGTGTGGACTGAGATAATACTTTAATTATCATCTTGTATGTATCATCTTATGTTAGAAGAATACAAGCAAAAAGAATAAACTGTTCACTCAGTTGCAACAATATACCACCTATTTTACTATGAGTACAGTGTTTTATAACAGAAAAAGCACAAAGAGGAACAAACAAGTCATTGAAGTAAAGTCTTCATTTTGTCCTAATTTCATTTAAGTTTATTGGTACAATTTAGGTTTACACAACGATCACATTCATTATAAGAGATTGTATCTACCCACATGTATCTTGATTCCTCTTTCCCTGCCCCATTCCCATCCCCTTCCTGCTCACAAATCTCTGTTTTAATTTTATCTTAATCACAGGGCAAATAGAGAAAGCAGAAGCATTCAGGTCTTTAGAGACCTGAGCCCACCTCCCTTGCCCTATAACAGGTTGTCTGGGGGAGAATACCTGCACTTTCTGCCCCCATCACTAACAAATCAGGTCTCTACTATGACTAGTGATAGTGGAAATCCTTGTGTAATTCTTAAACCAGCTAGGGAAACGTGAAACATCCACACGGTAAGAATACTATATTCAATGATATTTTAAGAAAGACATTTTTAATGCACCTAGTCAGTAGCAAGCATCATTTTGTTCATTTAAATTATGTTTAGAAATCAAAGCAGCAAATCTTAGTTGCTTAAGTATAAAAGTCTAAATCATTTACCAAAGGTTGAGCTCTCCCTCAAATATCATTTGCTGTATTCATTTGCTTAGCATTTCTTCAAAAACATTGTGAAAGTAACCCTCAACATTTTGTCTGTAGATTGGCAAAAGGGAACATACAAGATCATTACAAAAAGCATGTGTGTGTGCTTCAAGATTTCTGTAAAACGTAATATAGCAGGTAAAACACGCATACATTCATAGAATAATCTTCATTTGGGGGAAAAGCTACATAGAGAAAAATAGAAAGGAAATATAAAAAAATTTATTGTCAAATATATTTCATTCTTTTTCTGAGTAGCAGGTTTAATAGATGGCTTTCTCTTTAAAAAAAAATCCTGCAGCAGATCTAAAATTTCTACAACAGACATAAAAAAAGAAAAAAGATAATGAAAAAATGTCATGATTTTAGGGACAAAATAAGATGAGGACTTACTGACAGTAAGTAAATATTACCCCAATAGAGTATCTATCTTTTTGATTGCCCCTTTGCTAGATTTGATCATCTCAAACAATCACCCAGCCTACTACATACTTCTCTCCTCAGTGACTGTGATGGAGAGAAAATGAAATCAAGTGAGGGCAGGACTTTTGAAAGGCATAGCACTCTCCACATTAGTAAGAAAACAGATATATAAGAGATAGCTCAGTGATTAGCAGACTTTTGAGGGAGAGAACCAGGACTCATGGCAGGAGATCTCCGCCCAGAAACCAGCGCCATATGCAGGCTGCTGCCAGCCTGGGGAGAGCCAGACCCAAGCCGCTCTCCCTGAGTCAGTGCCAGTCACAAACAGTGGAGGGAGACAACCAGGCCCCATGGGAGGAGATCCATGCCCGGGAACCATATCATTTTCATTGTTTTGTTGGGTTGGGCTTTTCTTTTGTTTTGTTTAATGTTAACTCTGATGGCATGAGCAGGTTTTTAAAAGATGATGACAAGACATGGTTTGGAAGCCATTATGTATTTACTGCTGGCTGGTTTTGATGTCCTTTATTGCATTCATTGTTTTGTTTTTATTGTTTCTATTCTATTCTGTTCTGTTCTATTTTTAACAAGTCTGAAGGTTACCTTGCAGCTATTTTCAAGACAACAAAGGTGTTGCAGTAATTATTATCGATTTCATAAGATTTGGAAGTCCTGTATCACTTATTTGGGTTTATTGTGATAGATTTTATTATTTTGTGATTGATTTTATTATTTATGATTGATTTTATTATTTTATTTTCCTTGGTTTTATCCTATTTAAAATAAAAAACAAAAATATACCTAATGTACATTAGAGAGGTATTGCTCAAAGGCAGCAAAATTTCAGTTAGACTGGAGGAGTAAGCCCAAGTAACTATTAGACTATCATTTATTGTATAGCTAATGTATTATACACATAAAAAATGTTAAAGAGTAGATTGTAAATATTCTCATCACATTTGAACGACAAATTTGTGACTATGTTTGTCACACTTTTGTTGCTGTGGTGAAGTACCTGAGGAAGTCAACCTGAAGGTGGGAAGATTTACTTTGGTATGTGGTTTCAGAGGTTTCATGCTATTGTATGGCTCCAACGCAGTAACATCATGGAGAAAGTCCTGGCAGAAAAAAGTTGCTCACCTCATGGTGGCCAGGAAGCAGAGAGACAGGAATAGAACTAGAGAGGAAGGGCTGGAAACCAAATACAGTTGCCAATGCCGTGCCCCCATTATCCACTCTTTTCTATCAGGCCCAACCTCTTGTTTCCATCCCAGTAACACCAGTATGATCTCATTAGTAGACTAATCCATAAGTTGTATTAGAGTCCTCGTGATCCAGTCATTTCCAAAAAGTGCAGTAGCAACCAATCCTTCAAAACAATGAGGCTTTTTGGGGACCTATTAGGTCCCAAATATCACAGTAAGATAATACATATATTAATTGGTATCATTCAGCCATATATCAATGTCATATATCATGGAGTACATAATAAATATGCCTGTTAATTTTATTAATTAAAAGTAATGAGAGTAAGCTACAGTAAGCTTTCTAGTATTGGCACAAACACAACACTGTAGGTTCTGAAAGGTTTTGTTATTTAATTTGAAAACAAAAGATGAAAAGCATATTAAAGTATCTTAGGTTTCAAGTCAGGTATATTATACTTCTCTTCCAAATGCTCATGTTGGGCAGTCTCCAGGAGAGCCGTGGAATCTATGCATTGCCCAGCCAGCTCCAAGGCCAAACCTTCAATATTTCTCACAGTCAGTGCTTTCCTGAATGAGGGTGGCTGTGCAATTTGAGAATCAAGAGTTTTATTTTTAATGGCAAGAAGCCTGAATTATTTCAGAGTTGAAACTGGATCCCATAAAACCCATCTCCACTTCTTCTATGCCAAAAAAGCTGTTCTTTTCCACATATGGTTAGTCTCCTTTTGAGTATACTTTTGTAAATTCTCTTTCCCCTGTGAAAACTTTGTGCCTTGTTTCCTTATAAATCTGTCATCTCTCCAGGCTTCAGTTGACACTGGTGCAAAGCATATACAGCTCCTGAGGGATTTAGAAACACTGAAAGGACTTTTCCAGGGGAATTGATGAGGCAGTGAAAAGAGGCCAGCTGAATTTTCATTTTGAGTTAAAAAATTCAAAGGAACTTTGAATATTTATATTCCCAGATTTTATGAAACATTAGGCACAATTTGAAAATTTCTATTTATTTTTGGAAGAAAGAAAAAAATTAGATTAACAATGAAATCAGGCTGACACTTAGGTATAAGGCAGAAGCATGAATTAATATTTGGAGCAAGGCTGAATACCTGTCAGGCTTGATTTCTCAACTGTGCGTTTTTAGAAAGAGGAGAATGAAAGTGAAGACAAATCACTTAGCTTAAAGCTGTTCTTCTCTGGGTAATATCTTTTGCTACTTCTTACTATGTTTGAGGGAAAAAATAGTAAATTCATACTGCATTTCTGTTACAATCACCAGTCATTTTGACAGGCAACATGTTCTACATAAAGAAACAGTTACTTTTCCTAATTTCAAGGGAATATCTATATTTTTAATACTAAGTATACGAAAATTAGTGCAGTCATAGGCAGTGGTTTACATGCTACAAGATTAATGAATGTATTTAAGTGCACAATGGATATTTATATCTCATGGTTTAGGAGGTTGAGAAGTCCAAAATTAAGGAGCAGGTAGGTTCAGTGTCTACTAGTTCCCTGCTGACAGCATGGTGCCATTTTGGCTAACGCCATAGTCTCATCTGGAGGAAAAGTGGATTGGTTAAAGGGTTTAAGTTAGTTCCCTCTGGGCCTTCTTTAAGGTATTATGGATTGATAATTTTAAAATATCAATTTATATAAGAAACATAAAGTGCAAAATTCTGATTTTTTTGCAACAAAGCAGCAAAAAATTACAGTATAATGTTAAGAATTATAAAATGGTTTGCAGTTATATTTAACATATAAAATCTCAGGAGATATAAATATATTAGTTGAGATCAATTTCAGATTGTCAAGATTCAGAATAAATAGAAATCTGACAAGAGATCTCCATCACCCCACCATGGTTAGGGTTCATACTGTGAGTGTCATCAAGGCAGATGACAGCTTAGCCAACCAATATGAGCTGTTTCTTCCTTTTCTTAGATGACAAGATGCATTCTTTGTTTCAAAAAAGTTGTGTCAATGGTTTAAAATTTCTCACTCTTTCAAGTTTTTTGAAACCAAAAAATAATTGTAGTCTCTAGTTTTAACATAATCAATCTAACTCTAAATTAAAGAATTTGTGGTGAACACAATTCATTTTATGTAATGTGTATGTGTTTATATTGTTCTATTTTGTTGGAATTTAACTTGACATAACACACATACACTATTAACAGAATCCAGAGGAATGAACCAAGAGAAGAAAGGTACTTAGATAAGGACAGTTTTCTACTGTTGCGCCTAAAATATATCCTTTAATCCTCCTACTGTTTTGTATGTCAGAAGTCTGAGTGGAATACAATGAGTTCGCAGCTTAGAGTCTCACAAAGCAGAAGCTAAGCTGTCAGCAGTGTTGGGTTCTCATCTGGAGACTCAGCTGGAAAAGAACTTGTCCTTAAGTGCATTTGGGTTATTGACGGAATTTCGTTCTTTCTGGTGCTGGACTTACAAGGAGTCACTCGATTCAAGCAGGGTCACACAATTAATGTTTTGAGGAACTTGAGGTCAACTGATCAGTAACTTTAATTGTATCTACACAATCTGCTTGTCATGTAAAAGACCATAATCATGGGGCAGTCAGAGGACAGAGATCATGAAGGGAATCTTGGATTTGACTGACCACACTCTCAGAATCAAGAAATCTAAAGACTATAATCTCCTGATGGTTAGTTGAGAGCTGTGAGATTTAACCTTGTGCTGCAGTATCATTAGATTAAAAAGTGTCTAATGAATTATTCATCTGAATTCCTTTGTGATTTCATGGGTATTTGCTACTACCTTCATTTTGTAAGAGAAAAGCATCTTTCCACATATATGATAGGATGGTGGATGCTTCTGGCCTGTTGACCCGTCGCTAGTGCCATGCCCAGTATCTTTGCTCGTAGTTCACAAAAAGCCTATTCTGGGCCTGAAACTGTTACGTAACCAGCCATTCATACTGAACAGAGCACCTTCTCTAGGTCTATTCCATGGAAACTTAGGCCCAGGGAAAGGGACGCTGTGTGACGGCCAAATGACAGATATGTAACATGGCTGTGTGATCTGACTCCTGCAGTTGGCTGAAGGTCACACCTCCTTTTCACATTTCATTCCAGCCTCGGAGGGCAATGACCATGAAGTCACTTCTGAGAGCGCTGGTGAGCATGCCTCCCCACTACCGCTGCCTTTGTATCAGCCACCTCATCGGATGGACTGCCTTCCTGTCCAACATGCTCTTCTTCACAGATTTCATGGGCCAGGTAAAGCGTAAGTCTGCCCACATATTAAGGACTCACACTCAGTCGTTCATCAATACTCTCTTTTAGGCTGATTTCTAGAATACAGTAAGAGTATACAGCATAGTACAGTGAGAGTCTAAGAAAGAGTACTTTCAAGAGCTCGCTTACAGAGAAGTTTTAGAAGCAGGTGCCATACCTTTATAACTAGAGGACACTAGGAGAACTACTAGTACTCAACTGAATACAAGAAGTAGGAGCCAACCGATATGAGCTGTAGTGATCAAGGCAGGCCTCATAGAGAAGGCCCAGTATGATCTGGCCTTGAAGTGGGAGTAGAATTTGCAGAAATGTGGAAGAAGGATGACACATTCCAAACAAGAAGAGAAATGGCATGTGTAGAAATGCGTAAAACACCTGCTGGCTATACCAAAGGAAGGGCATAAGGACTGCCTAAGTCAGTTGAGGTCAGATGAAACAGGGGTGGTACAGGTCCGAGGGAATGTTTTTAGATGTGAAGCATAGGCATGAGTCTTGCTGAAGGTCCTCGAGTGGGTATGATTAGAAGAAAGTGGTGACCAGGCCATGAGGTAAAGAGCTCTGCGCCTTAAGAAGGGTCCCTTGGGCAGCTTCATGTTTGTTGTTCTTAAGGGTGGATACACAGAGTAAATAAAAAGGATTCCCTGCCACAATGCATTTATAGCTCAACGTCTCTTACCCTGTCTTTCAGATCGTGTACCACGGGGATCCATACAGCCCACACAACTCCACAGAGTTTCTCATCTATGAGAGAGGGGTGGAGATTGGGTGTTGGGGCTTGTGCATCAACTCTGTGTTTTCTTCAGTTTATTCTTGTAAGTCTTTCTCTCCTGAAGGTATCTTCTAAAGGTCTCTGGTGTAACAGAATCAAGATTTTGTATATCTCTATCTATATTTTTATCCTAATTATAAGAGATATGTGAAAAATATATGAATGTCAGGCAAAACTTAACACTACAGGAAATATTCTTTCTCATAGTGAATTCTAGGTATTATTTCCCTCAGCAATTATTTTGTGCTTGAGGACTCATCAAAATGAAATGAAGGGCTGGGGATTTAGCTCAGCAGGCAGCCATGAGTTCGATCCCCGGTACTGGTAAAAAGGAAAAAGACGAAAAAAAAAAAAAAAAAAAAGAAAGAGAAATTTTATACACAATGGCAAAGTGCTGAATGAGTGAGAGCTACCATCCCAACCAGCCCACGTTTTATTGGAACAAGATCTCTAGTAGTATTTCAGAGATGGGCTTATCAGATTTGCAGGTGACACAAAAGAGAAACGATGATTAAAATGTCACTTTACAAGACTGTCATATCAAATAACCTTAACTCTGGTGCTCCCAGCCATATGTTACAGAGCCACTGTCCAAGACTGAGAACAACTTCTCAGGCACCAGCTTCCCAAGAGGTCTTAGCCTCTTAATCTTTCAGTTGTCTAAATTTCCACTATGAGGCCATGGGATACTGTATTTAGTTGCTATAAGTCTAGGGCATCACACAAGTTCAGCTTGGGCTTGCTGTTTATGGCAAGCTCCAGGCTCTTTGTACATTGAATCAAATGAAATGTCTACCCTGAAATATTTAAGTATGTCCTGTGCAGTGGAATTTGAATCCTAATGATAATGAGGTCTTCTCATTGCTCTCTGCTCCTCCACCTTGAGAGGAAAAGCTGACCCTCAACTCAGAGCTTCAAATTTTGCTCAGATTCAGGGACAGCAGTGGTATGACCCAGCCTGAGGAAGAAGAGAGAGATGGGAAGAATCCTTGTCGTCATTCACAGGACAAACACTGTCATTCTTGTAGGGAGAAATCTTTCCCTGTTCTCTGCCCTGTCATAGCACAAGAATGCTTCTTTCAGATTACCTCAAAACTTGCTACAAATGGGAGGAGATAGCCTAATAAACCATATAAGGAATTAAGGTGACCAATAATCATAAAGTCATAGAAATTGCTATTTTGGAATGTATGACAATCAAACAGTGGTGGTTTAAATCTTATATTTCTTCACAAAGACTTTTTTTCTCCCTGGAAGTATGTGAACTAAGAAAATTTAAGGAGGAGGAGTCAAATACTTGAAACAGTATCAGAAAGCGACAGGGTCTAATAAATTATTCCTTTAAATTTCTTTGTGCTTTCATGGGGCTAGGGGCCTATTTACTACCACCTTAATTTTTGTAAGAGGAACACGTTTTTTTTCCACACATAATTAGTATTTTAACTTTGTGCTAGTTTTAACTTTTTCCTCCCCAAAGAACCCCTGCTAGGCACCACTCAGTCTAGTTTGATACCTAGATGAATTTCATGACACTTAAATATTTAAAAACCATGTTATATTCAGTCCCTTTCTTATTAAAAGCTATGTATGAAATAAACTATGATTTAGATCATCTTTTAAACTTTACTAATGTATACATCTATGAGATCCCTATTATTTTGAATCCAAGCCAAGATTTTATTTATAAAACACCACCCGGCCCAGCTTTCCATACCTATAGGACAAAGTCCATGTCTTGAACTTGGCATTTGAATATTTTCAGATTGGCTTAGTTCACTCTTTGACTTCTATTGCTGAATGCAAATGAACCACCCTAATGACCTAATGACAGCTCATCTCTGTGGATTTGCCAGTGCTTTTAGTTTCTTCTGCCTGACTTCTTCTATTCCTCCACCAACATAATTCCTAATGATGCCCTTCAGCCAGCCTAAAATATTACTTCCTCTATGAAACGATGCAAGATTTTCCCCTGTACCCTAGCTCACCCTGGCCAGAATCAGTCCTTTTTTTCTCTTCCAGAGCACACTCTGTTGCCTTCTATTTTGGATTCATCCCATAACATCAGATTTAGACCCAGTATCTCTACCTAACACTGCTCAACAGGGCAACCTTGAGGTTGGGGTGGGCTGTGGTGGTAAGGGACTTTTTTTTGCAAGCTCCTGTTACATAGCAAGCCACACTTATGTCAATCACAATAACAATCTTAATTGGTCTTAATGAACACTACTATTCATGGGTAATAAAACAACACTTTCCCTTTAACCCTAAAGAAAAAACTGTGCAAAGAGATGGCTACCCCTGGCTATCAGACTGATCAGAGGACATTGTATGTTTGATCCTGAAATCTATTTGACTTCTATCCATAAATGGGCATTTATTGGTCAGACTCTCAGTATTTGTGCTGAAGTTACTTGTGCTTCCAAATATCCTTTTGTCCTTGGATAAGATCTAAATATTGATGGTATCTTTCAGATACCTAGACACCTTCGATTACGTTTTGTGCATAAATGTAATAATTAAGCAAACAATGTTTTCCAAACTTACTGTGAAACTGACCTGCTTGAACTGCATCTATTTTCAACTTAACAACAGCCCTCCAGACATGGGATGAATTTAATAGAAAATCTGATGCTGCTTGCTTGTCATTTCCAGAGCTTGTCTTACACCCAATGACCTCAGACAGCGTTTTGTCTCATAATTAATTTAAACGCACTACAAATCAGGTTTTTTGTCTTCAAGGTAGAAGTCTGATGTTTATGTGGATAGATATGAAAAGTTTCATTCTTTAATAGGTACATTTCAACATCTATAATTTATCCTTCTTTTCAGCAGAATTAAGTAGAAGAAAAACAAGGAATGCACAGATTTAAAACTGACTTAGGAAGGTCAATGACTAGGGGAGTTTTCTTTACTTTTGTGGCAAACAGTGTAAAATATCTTGAAGCAGAGTTTAATTAATTTTGTAGATTAGCTCCATTCCTACAGCTGTATGAGCAAGTCAAGTTTACCTGCTTCAAAAGGAATCAAATTAAGGGTCAGCTATCTGCAGATCAGCCATTGCTTGTAGAAACAACAATAGCCATATTAGGTGGACATCTTTTATGTCCTCAGCATTTGGCTAGGTTATTTTTCTGGCATTTCTTCATTTGATACTGGTAATAACTCCGAAAAAGTTGTATTACTCCCAGCTTCCAGGCAAGACAACTGAAGTGACACAAAGTTAAGAAAGATGTCTATGTGAGGGAGCCAGCTGTAGACCTGGTGAGCACTTTACCAGCCTGAGAAGGGTTGACAAATCAGAGAAAGTGTCTTCAGAGAATTGCATAGATTTTACTTCTTCCCTATATGTGTAGACTGCATTCAGATAGGGACCAATAAACTGTGAGTGACTTACGTCATCTGGAGAAGTTCATTTATCTCATTTTCCCCAGATGACATTGGAAATTAGGTTCAGAGTAAGTATACATTATCACATTGGTATTATTGAGCCAGACCTCTTCTGGTTTTTATTTCATTTTATTTTATTTATGTTGATTCTGTAAACAATGCTGGAGATCAAATTGAAACCCCACACATGCTCGACCACTGAACCACTTCCCAACTGTGAGCTAGACCTCTGTAAGCAGAATAACCCCCACTGTTCTTCCATGCCTTGCAGCACCAACAGCCATCGCCCACAGAGGGCTTTTTTACATCTCTTTTGCATCTTTCTTCTATTCACCTGTTTGCTAAACTGTGCCTTATTCTCCTCTATGGAAAAGAAAATCAGCTTAGCAAGGCAATTTCAAGCTGTCTCTTTTTATAGAGGATTTAAAACTGATGTCTCAAAAAAAGCCAGTTGTTTTCAACCCATAGATAAGAGGTTCTTTTGTTCCTAATTTAGGATTGAAAAAGTCTGCTAAAAAAGTGAGTCTTCAAAAGAAGGATTATCTGAAATTATTAAATATTGTAAGACACTGCCAGCTGTAATTTGTCCCTTTCTTCTCTCCACAGACTTTCAGAAAGCTTTGGTATCCTACATCGGCTTAAAGGGTCTTTACTTCATGGGGTACTTGCTGTTTGGCTTAGGGACAGGATTTATAGGACTCTTCCCAAATGTGTACTCCACCCTGATCCTGTGCACCTCGTTTGGAGTTATGTCCAGCACTCTGTACACCGTGCCCTTTAACCTCATCACTGAGTACCACCATGAGGAGGAGAAAGAGGTGTGTGCTCCTTGAACCCCTGCCTTGGATTCCTTGAGGTAGGATGGTAGGGATGATGACCCATAGCTCCTCCCTGCACACTTAATAAAGCCTGGGCTCCCCAGGGATCCATACCCCATCTATCGCCTGGAACTCAGACCACAGAGGAAGATCATAAACAGTTCCTATAAGAACACCTGGCTGAATATTTTTGCTCTAAAATTGTTATTGCTTCTAATAGAAATGTGCAACTTGTTCCTTATGCAAAAAGGCATATGGTTCTTTGACTAGAGCAGTGACACAAAAGCCAATGCAGTAACTTTGAGTTTAATCCATCTCAGTACAAAACTGCAAAAACACTAAACATATGTCTATGAGACCATAATTCTGACTTTCTTTTTTGCATTATTTAATTTGCAAACACAATAGGCCAGAATGGTACCAAGGTCTGGGACTTTTCAAGCAAGGGTTGCAGCTTGCAGCCCTCATCTTTTGGCAAACATGGTCACCAATGATGACCAGCATGGTCATCAGTGAAGAATGGGGGTTTTGCTGTTAAAGAGATCATCATCATGAGGAACTGTCCCTCCATGGAAAATGCTATATGGCACCAAGCATGAAAACACATAATCTTTAGACTAGAAAAACTTGGATTAAAATCCTGCTTCCCCTATTTTGAAGCTGTGTGACCCTGGGGATGTTATTAAATCATTTATGCAATAGCACTTTTAAAATGAATTCATTTTAGATGAGGTAATATATCTACATCACTCAACAATCACAATCTCAAACAGAAGTGTGCTTTGTAAAGTGACTCCTTTCATGATTTTGCTACTCCTTCTAGCCATGTTACTACTCTTTATTAGTTTTTTAAAACTTTCTAGTATTTTTAAGTGAAAATCAAGTATGAACTTATTTTCTTTTTTCTTGCCTATTAAAAATATATCTTTTTTCTACACCAGGTTGATTTTACTTAACATTATAGGAAATCACCATTTAAACTGTTGGGAACTTGGGCTGGAGATTTAGCTCAGCAGCATAAGTGCCTGCCTTGCAAGGGCGTGGTTGTGAGTTTGATCCCCATATGGCTAAAAAACAAAACAAAACAAAACAAAACAAAACAAAACAAAAAAAAACTGTTGGAAACTCAAAAATCATCAGCAGAGAAATAACACTTACTATATAAATTTGCTGAAAAATTGAGCAACATAGTGTATGAAATATGCTTAGCATAGTGCCTATTTAGTACCTTTCTGATAAGAACTAAAGCAATAATGTCTAGTACTACTGTTATCATGAGGATAATGATAATACATGTATCTAAGGCAGTAATAAGAATGAAATAAAGTACTAATGATTATAAATGAATTTACACAAAGCTAGCATAAAAGAGACAGCTAAAAATGACAGTCAATTAAAACCAAATATTCAATATTAATTGTTAATTTATTAATATTAAACAATGAGTCACTAAACAGTTAATATCGATAATTAATCAAACAACCATCTTTGAAGTGGTTGAATTGATTTTTATGTTGCTTCTGCTGAGTGCTTTAGAGATTCAGCATCCTTTTGAAAATGTTTGAATCTTTAACACTAAGCAGAAAAAGAATAGAATTCACCCTCTTTGTTGGGTTTTACCACATTGTGTTAATGGCTTCTTAGGAAGAGATCATTTTTGCATGTGTTAACCTTTGAATCTCACATGTGTTACTGGTGGGCCTGGGAGGGAGGGAAGACAGCATCAAGCAGGATGGAGGAGGCCTGCTACCTGTTTTTGTACAGTCCATGGCCAAGATTTTATTTTAAATTTTTAAATGATTGAAAAATATCCCAGCAAAGGATAATATTTTATGATAAGTAAGATCGACATGAAGTTCAAAACTAATGCCTATAAGTTATGCTGGGATGCAGTTTGTTTATGCATAGAAACTATTTTTGATTGGAAAGGGAGTTACGTCCAAGGCCTTATGACCCATGCAGGTATTTACTATCTGGCTTTTATTGAGTAATCTTCTCTATCTTGGCCCCAAGTGACAGTTCCTTTAGCTCAAAGTGTGTTCTTGTGCTTCCCTTGCAGAGGCAGCAGGCCCCAGGATGGAGCTCAGGCAGCAGCAGCAGCACTGAACGTGGGAAGGGTGTGGACTGTGCAGCTCTCACCTGCATGGTGCAGCTGGCTCAGATTCTGGTTGGAGGTGGCTTGGGCTTTCTGGTCAATATAGCTGGGAGCGTGGTGGTGGTGGTGATTGCGGCCTCTGCGGTGGCATTTATTGGCTGTTGCTTTGTGGCTCTGTTTGTTAGATATGTGGATTAGATCAATAAAGAGACAGTGATCCTACCCTCAGACAGGTGAAGGACATGGCAAGGGAATTTGTCTTTTCTCTGCTTCTGCACCTTTAGAGTCTCCTCACTGGGTGTCCTGATTGTGATTTCAGATGAGGTCATCTGCCCACCCTTGATAGGAAGTCCAGCTCCTTGTATAGCAAATGAAGTCAGGTGTCATTTTCTCCGCTGTCTCTCTGTGCAGTGGTGTAACTGTAACTGGGCACACGTGCCATACATACTGTGTCTTCCTCACTGCACACCAGGGCAGAGATGGATGAGGGAGGGTCTGTTTTGCACAGAGCCTTTCCAATCTTGATGACCCTTGAGAAGCAGACTTGTTCTCCCTGTGATGCTTATATTAATTCTGCAAGATGCTGTCTTTAAAAGTCAGCAGTCCTTACCTAGTTGGAAAGTCACATATCTCACTAAATTTACAAATACTAAAAATATGACTGATGATTTCTATGCTCTTGACTTATTTATACCTAATTTGCTCATAATTAATTCCTATTAACGTGTACCATCCTGAGAAATCTGCTTGAAACTTCATGTTCATTTTTTAACACAGCGAAATTATTTCTGTCTAATCTGTTTTGTTTCATCCTCTGGGGTTGATATGAAAATTTCTCAGTGATCATCTGCCCCCAAGATAAGTAGTATCCTCTGGCAATACCCCACCAACTGCCTCCCATGAGCTGTGGAAACCTGTTGATTCTGAACCTTGGCTTTGCTACTCACTCGTGAACTATTTCATCATCCTAAGATACACTCATCTATACATTTTGAATAATAATTCAAACTGCAGAGAGTTGTGATTAATAATAGATAACATGGAGTGTTTGCCACTACTCTAAATGCTTTACCTGTGTCAACGCAGTAATTCTGAAAGTCGGTGCTGTTACTGCTCCCCCTTTTGCAGATGAAGAAACTAAGGCGGAGAGGAATCAAACAACTTATCTGAAGCTACACAACTGCAGGTGGCACAGCTGGTCTTTGAACCCAGGGCCTCTGTCTCTGCTGCTTCCTTATGGACAGCACCTAATTTGGCGGCTGCTCACTGACTGATAACAAGCTGTGGTCATGGCTGCTGAAGACACATTGTCCCATTCTGCATCCCTAGGTCCACCCAGTCTTTTACAATTGCTTACTGACATGAATTAATACCTAACTAGTGCAAAATGAAGATTTATCTACCTGTCATTAAAAGCTTAGAAAGTTATGCTTTTCCTCTCCTATCTTATCTTGGAGTCTGGGTAGTATGGTTATTGCCCCAGGTGAATTTCTAGCTGACCAAACCCTTCAGGTTATAAAGGAAATTGAGAAAGGAAATGCACTGTCTGGAAAAACTGGGAAACTTGGCTGAGAGGATGTTACTTCTTGACCATCTCCTCATTTCCTTCTTCTCTCCTCTGTGTTCAGTGCTGTGAGAGTCCTTCTGTGCACCTTGGCATTAGCATATCCCTAGCCACACACTCCTCACCACTTTCTACCATGCAGACACATAACCTCATACCCAAAGGTACAGAGGCTCAACAGCGTGCTCTACCTGTGGAATATGGGCTCTAGAAGGGTCCCACAGGGGGCCTGTGGATAGACTCCACACTGTTTGGATGGGAATTGTGGGATCTCATGTACGGGAACATAATCTAGAATGTAGGGGAGGGGCATAGCTGGAGGAGTGGGGCAGAGCAAGGTCCTCTAATGATGAGATGCAGGCAGGGCAGTGCCCTGGCTGCCCAGGCCTAGGGGGAAGACTACCAGGCTACAAGAGTTTGCAGAGAGCAGACTGTCATTGTTTTAGCCTCTTTCCCCTTCCCAATTTCTCCACCAGTCTCAAAAGGCAGCTGCATCCTTGTGCCTCGCACTCACTCTCTCCTTCCTGCTACTGCTTGGGTTTTTACCCTGCTACTGCCCAATGGCCTACTTTTTATTTAAAGAGCCTGTCTCTGCTGTTGTTTCATTATCATCCCTGTGACTGGGCTGGAGTTTCTGCAACACCCTCAAATCCCTTCTTTTTTCTTGTACTATTGCCCATTGTAGCAGAAGAATACACACTGACACACATTCCTAAGAATTGATGAGCTACCCTAATAGGATGAACAGTATTCTATTGTCCAAACTAAAGGACCAACTTGCTCTAATAAGCATCTTTCAGTAAGAGTCTAGAATTGGCAATATGCATGCATATCCTGCCATGGTAGTAGGTGGTTTATCTTTTCTCATGTTGATTTTTCATGTATTTTGTATTTGGGGAGGTTAGGGAGTTTATATTTCAATTACTACAGTTGCTAACCAATATTAATAACAAGTTTTATCTATGAGAAATAGAGGAAGAGTAAAATGACTACTTTTGAAACAGATGCACTGATCTATTTTCTGAAAGGCAACTTCTTGAGATCTGTCAGGATTGAGATCAGGCAGCTTTTATTTCTGTGGAAATTTATATGAATATTTATTGTACTGTATTGTATTACAGACAGTGGAATAAATAATTTCAGAGTTTTAGATCTCGTATTTTGAGCCTCAAATCTCAGACATTACAGAAAATTTCAAAAAAATTACTAAAGAATTCTACATCTTATGAAACCATTTAGACATATTTTTAAACCATTTAGACACATTTATTGTATTAAAATGGTTACATTTAAAGGTGTCTGTATTAGTCTGCATTACCAGTTTCTTGAGCCCCAAACCAAATAACCAAAGAAAACTGTAGCACCTGTATCAATCCTGGCAGGTGGATGGGTGTGTTGATATTTGATCTCAGTTTTCAAAACAGCTTCAAGAAAGAATTTGTGAGAATCTTAACATCTTAAGTTGCTACTCAGTCACAGTCATAAGAAATGTGAGTTACATTCAGAGACAACCCCATTGGCTGTGTGGAAGTTAGAGAAGAATTCAGCATGCATATGCCATGTGCAAAGCATTCTTTACAATAAAAGGAAGTTAGTTAACTATTGTCTTGTGGGAATTCTTATTTCTTACCATTCTTTTGTGAATAATATGAACAAAAAAGAACCTCACACCTGAAATTCCGGTGATCCTTTCAGAACTGTATCTCCACCAATCTCTTCCCTTTAAGATGATTATATTTGACTCTTCCATTATTTTTCCTGTTTCACATCTCTTCTTGAAAGAACAGACTCCTGCTTTTAGGAATTTGGTCTGCAGGAAACCACTGCACATTTCAACAGCGTCTCTTACTCTTCTAAGCATACCCAAAACATCATGGAGCACCCTTCTATTCTCTGGTGCAGAGCCAGAGAATTCAGATGAATGAAAGGAGCATCCCAATTTCCAACAATGAGGTGAGGGGCTGCAGGCATGCTCTTGCTCTCTGAAGGGCTTTTCAAGATGCTCCTGAGTCCTGCTGACCTGTAGCATATGAACCAGAGGGACCCAGACTGCTTGTTCTCAGGGGATCCGGAGCACCCAGCTTCCGAGATGCTCCTGATACACATCCTGCTCAGTTCCCAAGTGAGCACCTCAGGCCTTCTAGGGACAGTGGCCTAAAGACATTTTTGTACTCAGCCTCTCTAATTACACTGCTCTCTCCTGTGTTAAGATTGCTCCCAAATGAACCTCTCTGTTTCCCTTGGGACAGAAGTTTTGCCCCTGGTAACATCTGAGCTCAGAAGCGGCAAGTCTACAGTCAAGCTCAGCTTGTGCCCACTTGCCCTGTTGGAAACATAGATGAAACCATGTCTCCCTTGAGTGGTGGTGCCTCTCCCTTGTCATTTCTCTTGGGACAGACCAACATGGTCAATACTTTCTCCCAACTCTGGAAAGGCTTCTTCCTCCAAATTCACTCTCAAGGCAGCAATTTAGACTTCTGCTCCTCAAGACATTCTTGAAGGTCAAAGAGCACAGGAAAGGTTCTTTGGGCAGCTTTTCTGTCTGGATACAGCTTGGCCTATAGTGCACTCCATAAACATTGCTGGAATAAATGATCAGTTATTTGTGCATTATTTAGCTGAGACTCACTTCCCGTGACCCAGTTTTTTTTGCTTTCCTGATGCCTTTCTGTTTCTGGGAGCTCCAACCCTCTCCAGGGTAGGTAGATAACAAGGAAAGGACACAGGGGTGGCATTTGGAGCGGATCCAAGGCCAGGTTCTGTGGGCTTCACAAAGAAGGTTCCCCTACCATCTCCCCGTCCCCTTTTGTCCTACTTCTTGAAGTGGGGTCCCTCAGTCTCCAGTTATCCACTCTCCTTTTTCCCTGCCTGTGCAGTGGCTTTGTTCTGCTGCATACCCTGAGTCTTACTTTGTGTCATAGGCTGAGCTGCTGGGCAGCGGGTCATAGCGCCCCCCACTGTAGACCACCATGCCAGGTGGGTAATAGAGCAGGTCAGGCTCAGTGCCTGCATGGAACGGTGCCAGGGCCCGCAGTCGGTGGTCTTCTGGCTCTGGCTTGGTGGTGGCAGTGAAAGGACGCATGTTGGTCAGCGAGGGCGATGCGAGCCGCCACAGCAGGTTCTTGAGCGCCTTGCGGAATTCACGGCGCACAAGGCAGTAGAGGATGGGGTTTAGGCAGCTGTTGGAGTGCGCCAGGCACACGCTCACGGGGAATGCATACACCTGGCACAAGAAGTACTCCTGGCTGAAGGGCACCGCGTTGAACTTGATGAGGATGCTCCAGGTGGTGAGGGCCTGGTTGGGCAGCCAACACAGGAAAAAGGATAAGACCACGATGGTCACTGATTTAGTGACCTTGGAGCGTCTCCGAGCGCTGGCTCCAGTCAGGCTTCCCCCAGCGGCCACTTCAGTCCCCACGACGCGGCGGTCGGAGATGAAACGCACCAGTAGCAGGTAACACAGGCTGATGATGCCCAGAGGCAGCACGAAGCCTAGCAGCACCTTCTGCAGGTGGTACAGGCCCAGCCAGAACTGCCTATCACCACCCAGCAACTGGTCCGGGAAGCGCACCAGGCACAGCTCCTCACCCATCACCTTGACGGTGGTGGAAAAAATGGCATTGGGCAGCGAGGCTAGAGCAGCCAGAACCCAAATCAACACACAGAATGCCTTGGCTGAGAAGCAGCAGCTGTCTTCCAAGCTCTGGCCGCAGCAGTGGCCACGGCCGTGCCCTCGGGTCCGGTAGCTCTTAAGGGCTGAGGCCACTGAGTGGTAGCGCGCCACACTCATGGCAGTGAGGAAGAAGACGCTGGCGTACATGTTCATGGACGTCACTATGGACACGATCTTGCACATGGCTTTGCCGAAGGGCCATTTGAAGTCAAGCGCGTTCTCCACCGCCCAGAAGGGCAGAGTGAGCACGAATTGAAAGTCCGTCAGCGCCAGGTTGGTGACAAAGAGGTTGATGGAGGACTTGCGCCAGCCTTGTTTACTCTTCATCAGGTAGAGCACAAGCAGGTTGCCCGCCAGCCCCAGGGCGCAAACCACCCAGTACACCGCGCTGATGAGAATGCGCACCCGGGCCTCTGTGTCGGAGCTGTCTGCCCCGCTGCTACCCGGGGGATGCCCTGGTGCCGCACCATCAGGCAACTCTAGCCCCAGCTCCCACCACAAGTCCTGAAGCTGCAGCGACGCGTTGTCACTAGCGTTGGCAGCCTGGAGAAGGTCCGGGATCAGTCCGAAGAGCTCTGTGAGTGCCTCACTTCCAGCAGCCTTGTTCATGGTGACTGTCGTGGTTGCAGCAGCCACCTGCATGCAGCGCAGGTTCCTCTAGGCCATGTGTGGGGAAACTAAGGAAGAAACTAAGGAAGCAGGATCTCCCCGAGCGTGGTCCCTGCAGAGCGCAAGGTGTGCACCGGAGCTTTCAATAGTAGCCGCAAAAGACAGCGAGCGCGGTGGGCGCAGGAGCTGAGCTGGGCGTCTGCCCTGAAGCCGAAGAGAGCAGAGGGCAGTGCCCAAAGGGAGCCGGCGTCTGTGTGTCTCCAGCCAGAGGCAGTCTCGGGGTTCCCGTTGTGCAGCTGAGACCTCCCTTCTTAATTTTGCGCTGCCACTTGGGCAGCGAGCAGAGACCACCTGCTGCTCAGGAGCGCGACTCCCACCGCTCTGCCTTCCAATACCTTTGCTGGTTTCCTCTACTGCGGCTTGGAAGAGGTTCCTGTGCTTCTAGAGAAAAGTAGAGATCGGAAAGTTGCGTCCACCTCCCCGTCACTGCCTGGAGGTCTGCAGGTGTCTCCGTCTCTCTGCGGTTAACTCCCAGTGAACTGAGGAAGGCGCTTCGCGGTTATACTCGCAGACACCCACGGAACCCGGGCGGCGAGTCCTAAGGAGCATGCGTAACCGGCGCGGGAGCGGGGGCGCTTTCCGAGGTGCTGAACCCCAAGGCTCTGGTGGCAGTGGAGGAGGGAGGGCGGAGCTGCCCGCAGAGCCCACTGGCAACAGCCCTTGTACTCTTCAAACTTTCAGAAGGAAAGGGTAGTATTTATTCTCTTGGAAAAGGTTTGATTTGATTTAGGTTCTCGCTTCATTATTTTCAAATAGTAATACTTTGAAGGGTTTTTTCCTTCTGTTTTCCTTATGCATTTGGTAAAGGGTGGTTCTGAAAATCCAGTCTCCTGACCACTTCCCGTTTAAAAACATGCAGAGCACAGTCCCTATTTAGTGACCTTGGTCGGTCACCAGGAGCTGTCTCCGAGGATGGATCCTTCCTGGAAACTCAAATGCAAGGGTTTTTTCTCTGTCTCTGTCTCTCTCTCTGTCTCTCTCTCTCTCTCTCTCTCTCTCTCTCTCTCTCTCTTTCTCAAATGCAAGCTCTGCTTCTCTCGTTTTACTCAATTGACCACTTCCCTGGGGTCTAGTTGTCAGTATTTCAAAGGTCTCCTTTGTATTCTAAGCTAAACAGAGCACAGAGCACACATTTGGTTGCAGACCTTGCCCATGCCACCTGTCCAGACAGAGATCCAAAGATCCTGGACGCATGCCGCATACTCTCTTCACCTAGATGTAGGCGAAATCAAAGATAATCAGGCTGTTCTTGCTACTATTTTTTTTTTTGAGATGGGAGTCTCGCTATGCAGTTCAGGCTGGCTTTAAGCTCACTTTGTAGCCCAGGCTGGTCGTGAACTCGAAAAGATCCTCCCACCTCCGCCTCCCGAGTGCTGGGATTACAGGCGTGAGCCACCACTCCCCGCTTGTTCTTGCTACTATTAAAATCATGTCTCTATTAGATATTTTTCAGACCAAAGACAGTAAATTCAAGAGAATTTTACAGGGGACCAATAGAAACCATTTGAATTACTTCTTAAATTGTGCCTTATGTAAATTCTAGGTCTGGTGTAAATTACATTTTTAAGGATGGATTTATGGAGTTGGAAATGTTTTCTTCACTGATAGGGATTAAATTGAAATAAAATGTCTTAAGCATTTAGTAATTGTCTTCATATCTGAGCTCCTGGAATTGCTTACAAAGACTAAGAGGTGAATTTTTAAAACATAGGAGATAAACAACAGCAACAAAAACTTAATGAAAAAGAAACACCGTACTCAAAACATGAGGGGAAATAGAAACAACCATGATTCCACCTTAACCTTTCCAAGAGAACTTTGCGGTAGACGCAGGACCGCTATCTTCCCTCTAGAGGGCGCCAGGGCTTTAGTAAAAACCAAACAAACTATGCCTCTGCTCAGCTCTGCAGTGAAGATAACCCCGCTCAGGTTATTTTTCCTAAGCCATTGATTGCTTCTGTGGTTGCATCTTATCCCTGTTCTAGTAGCCTCCTCTTCGCTTTCACGATCACATTTAACTTTTTAAAAATCGAATCAAATTTTACCTACTTTATTGCGTTTATATTTCAAGGTGCTGTTGAAAATCAAAAAAGCCTAGGGCACTTATTGAAAGCCCTCTGGTTTAAAGTTTGGTACCTTCACACTCACCCCCACCCACCGACCTCCCACACAGCCTCACCATCGCTGTGCTTCTAGGCTCACCTGACAACATATCTACTTGATCTGCCCCAAATTACATGAAACATTCACACATTCTGAAGGACACTGCAGGACATTCATTCAATTTGAACCCATGTTCATTGGTACTTACTCTTAGCTGGGCACTGAGCTAGGCTGACAGACACATTGTGGTAGACTCTGTCATTCAGTCCTCTCTGGAACTTTAATCTAAACTAGTGAGCAACTTAATGTCTCTGACTGTACTTTTTGTTTAGTCTTGTGCATGACTAAGTTATCAAGAATGCAATGATTTGTGTGCCAGATGCACGAACAGTAATTTCAGCTCTTTGATTTTCCTTCTATTTTTCAAGGGGTGGTTGGGTAATAAGCACTTATAGTACATTTGATGGGCTATTTCAGTTTTCATTGTTTAAATTTCAAGGTCACTGTGTATTTGTTTGTATTTGAACAAACTATTAAAGGGGGGAAAGTTCATATGTTACATCATCTATCTCTCTGTCCTCATTCTCCCTGAATTAAAATCAGGGTGTGATGGAGATTTGGAGGAAATTCTTGTTAGCAACCAGAAGTCCTCTTTCCCTTCATGCTGAAATCTTTCTCTGGACTTCTTTGTGTTTCTGAAGCTATGTGGGTCATGGGAATTCATCAGTGCAGCCAGGGTAAAAGCATACTGCAGTGTATAACTTCTGGGAGCCCATAGTCGTACACTGTGGTAAATCATTAGCTTTAGCCCTGGTGTTTCACACTGGAGGCCTGGAGATATAAAGGGATTTACTCAGGATCTCACAGCTAGGAAACTGGAACAGCAAGTCTAACTCATAAATCTCTTAACTCTTAGATAACATTTTTGGATCCGTTCTTCACTTCCCAACTTGGTTCTAACTCTTCAATACTTTTCAACAATGCCAAGTAGTGATCCCTCAAATATGCCTGCATGCTGATCCCTGGCCTCTTCGATGTTAATTTATATAATCAATAGGACTTTTCAAATGGGATGAAATCCAAGGTTTTGAAATGAGAAAAATTGTCATGGGTTAGGCAAATGGACCCAATATATTCACAGGAGTCTGCAAGATTCAGATAGGAGGAATCAGTGTCAGAAGAGAAAGCGGTGTGATAAGTCAAGCAGAGGTTGGAGAAATCATCTTCAAAATTGGAGATAGGGAACGCAAGTCAAATGAATAAGAAGCTGCCAGAAGCTTGAAAAAAGCTTGGAGGATTCTCCCTTAGACCTCTAAGTAGAAACTGTTCTGATGACATCTTGATTTCATGCCAGTGAAATTGGTGTAACATCTTTGATATCTGGAATTGTTAGACAATAAAATAGGCTTATTTAAGCCACTATCTTTGTGGAAATTTGTTACAGCAACAATTGAAACCAGTGCAAGATGTGCACACTTGAATAGTATATAAACAGAAATTAAGAAATTCTGAGTTTAACATGTCAGCTCATCTTAACATATCCTTCACTCATTCAACACATATTTTTCAAGTATCAACTTTATGACAGCTACTATGCTATGAACTATAAAGTTGATAAACACAACTACTAGAGCTCATGTTCTGGTAAGTGAGACTATCATTTATGAGTTGTATGATTATAAGAAGGAAAACAAAATAAAGTAGAAAGGTACAACTATGTAAAAGATGTCATTTTTATTTTTTCAGAGCATATTTATTAAATAAAATGATACCTTTTCAAATAAAATTTTAAAAATCAATGTGATTTATATAATTGTTGTATGTATATTTAATTATATAGAATTTTCTCCCCAGAAAACTGTTAATAATATGTGCCTTATAAACTACAGTAACTTGAAAGGAAGGAAATTTACTTAACAAGCAAGGGAAAAGAGAAAAGAGAGAAGGATAGCATTATGGGCAGAAAGTACATAATGAATCAAAATAGCAGGCAGCCAGGAGCAAGATGCTTTTACAGGACAGGAGGAAGAGTAAGTCCAGTATGTGTAACACAGGAAGTGAGTAAGCAGCGCTAGACAGAATGCAGGAGTCAAATGATATCTCATCAAAAACTTTTAATATTTCACTTTACAGCAATAGTAGGACATTACAAAATTTCAAGCAGGGAGCAAGAAGATCAGTTTTGTATATTTGACGATCATCCCAGTTGTTACATGATAATGAAGTGGATGAAGGTAAATTAAGGATGAATGTAAAGTAAGTCAGTGTTCTTTTAGACACTCTCCTCCTCACTGAGACACAAGACCCAACACCCATGGAGTAAAGCAGGAGACGTTTTTTTTAAGCACATGGTCGCAGTCCACAGCTGGCCGCCTCCAAGGCAGAAACAGCATGGCAGGGACGCATAGTTGGGAAAGGCTACTTGCATTATGGTAGTCAAGAGCAGAATGAAGGGAGAGGCCAGGGAGAGACATACACCCTTCCAGGTCATCCCCCCACCCACCCATGGCCTGCCTCTTCAGACCAGACCCCACCTCCTAACAGGTATATCTTCCCTATGATTTAATCAACTTTCAAAAGCCATGCCTCTGGGCTAACAAGGCTTCTGGGTACTAATCTCAATCCACACCATAGCATCCTATCTGTAGCACCCAAGAAAGTCATGCACGTTTCTTTTTGAAAAATATATTAGCACAATATAGGAGTCACAGTTATGGATACCAATCTACACGCCTGGCCAAGATCCTTGAGTGCCCATAGGTGGGGGCTTTTGGGAAAGTGATTGAATTATGGGGGCCAGATAACTGACTTGCTGTGAAGACTGACCAGGTTAGAGGTTGATCACTGGGAGCATGACTTGGAAGGGTGTATCGCTCTCCCTGGCTCCTCTCTTGTCTCTTGGCTTACTGGTCTCCATGATATGAGCAGTTTTTCTTTCTCTCTGCACCTCTACTGAGTTGCTCTGCCTGGGCTATCTGGCTGTAGATCACAAATATGAGCCCAAATAAAATTCTCATCCTTTCACTGCAGGTATTGGATACTGTGTTTTGACAATGCGAAAATAACTAGAACACATTTGGTGCCAGAGCAGTGGGTTAGGGATAGTGTTAGAGCTGGGCTGTAAGTACATGAATACAGGCCTTCAGAACATACAGATAGAGTGAGAGAAACAGTGCTGGGGTACAAGGACCCAAGGATGAGGGGTGTGTACCCAGATAGGCTTAGGGTGAGGGTGAGGGCTAGGGATAGGGATAATGCTGGGATGCAAGTACCTCGGTGTTGGTAGGTGGGGGTTCACATATAGAGTTAGTGTTGGGGTTAATGATGGGGATAGTTTTGAAGCGCAGTGTATGAGTATTGGAATGCAGAATACCTGGATAGGGTTAGAGCTTGGGCAGTGTTAGAGTTTATTTTGAGGTACAGGTACCTCAAAAGTACTGGAGTGTGGGATTTCCAGATAGGGTGAGGGTTACAGTAAGGGTTAGGTTTAGAGTTAGGCATAGTAATAGTGTTCAGTTGAAAGCACCCAAGAATAGGGGTGTGATTTAGTTTGATAGGGTTAAGGAAAGTCATAGTGTTGGGGTGCAAGTATCTGGGTACTGGGATTCAAGGTACTGGGATAGGATTAGCATTTGGGTTAGGGTTCTGAACAGTATTGGGATGCAACACTGGAATCCAGATTTAGGAGTAGTGTTATGGATAGGGATAGAGTCGAGGTGCGAGTACCTGAGTTTGAGGTGTGGGGCGTCTGGATAGGGTTAGGGAAGGGGGTAGTATGAGGATAGAAGTACTTGAATATTGGGCTGTGGGGTTAGGGTTAGGCTGTGGGGTATCCAGATAGGATTAGAGTTATGTTTAGTGGTAGGAATAGTCTTGGGGTACAAGTACATGAATTCTGGGTTGCAGGGTATACATATAGCATTAGGGTTAGTTCTAGGAGTGGGAGAGTGTCAGGGTAGAAGAACCTGGGTTCTTGGGTGTGGGTACCTTCATAGGTTTAGAGTTAGGGTTAGAGATAGGGATAGTTGGGGTACAAGTACATGAATCTTAGGGTATGATATTCCTGTATAGGATTTGGGTCAAGGGTAGGTTAGGGACCAGGCTAGTGTTTGATTGCAGGTACTCAAATGTTGGAGTACATCTTGATAGGATTAGGGCTAAAGTTAGAGTTAGGGATAGTGTAGAGTTGCACATGCCTAAGAATTGTGGGGCT